TTTGTTTCTCATGCTCTTCCAGTGACTTCTAGATGTTGCCTGTGTAGGGTAGGAAGGCTTAAGAATTTTGAGGTGAAACGGGGTCTTTAGGCCATGGTTTTGGCAGCCCAGGATCAGACTTTGACAGACAAGGGGAGAGTTTGGGATGTTTACATTCAACACCACATTGTAACAATAGGACAGGAATATACTGAAGTGCTGCAAATGCCATGGAGGGTACGGATGGGTATAACTCTTGTCCACAAGTGAAAGAAGATAAAACGCTTTGTTCCAGTGGACTCTGTGCTGTGGCCTGTGGTTGAGGAGGAAGAAGCTAGGATGTTTGCATAAGCTGCTAGTGCTGCAGGTTTTCTTGACTAGCATATTGACCAGCACCTTTATTTTATACTAGCCAATTGCCCGTCATGAATGACGGAGCATTTCGGGGAGTGTTTACATGACTCCCCTGCTCACCCTTCAGATGTAAACAGTCCCACTGCTGCTATATCCTCTTCCAGCCTCCAGCGCAGTGATTCCCTCTCCCCTGCCCACCTCCACCTCCTCCCCTAGAGCAGTGCAGCTTTCCCCTGCCTCTGATGGTGCAGCGGCTCCCTCCCCCGCACCTGCCTCTGCCTCCTCCCACAGAGCAGCGGGGCTTCCCTCAACTTGAGGAGGTAGCAGCAGCTGCCTTCCCCGCCATTGCCTCCCCTGGAGCAGCGGGGCTTCTCCCTCCCTGCCTGAGGAGGTGGAGCCCGCGCAGCCAATCGCCACCAGCCCTCTTGATGGCACACGTGCAGTTTCCCAAAAGCGTTACAGACAGACAGACAGGCTATGCCCTTTAATATATTAGAATTTTTTTACAGGTTACATGTTGAACAAATCTTTGAGATGGCTAAGATCATTTTTCCCCCTTGGAACTGGAAGCATTAATATATATTTTAGAATATAAATTTCCCTTGGCAAAAGCCTAGTTTTGGTGGTTTCTGTTGGTGGGCTCTGGTGCACTGCTTTATTTCTCCATAGCCAAGAAACTAAGGTGGCGCTTTGACTTTGTCAGTGCTGCATGGATTCCTAAGATTTTAACCTGTTTACTTGAGGAAAGCATTGTGCTTCTGGACTTTATGCGCTTTCATTTTGGTGACCCATGATGCTATTCTGGAGGCATGGATCCTGTTTGTGAAACAAATTAACACTAGAAAGGAGACCATTACATTTTCATATTCTAAACTCCTAAAAGATAAAGACCAAAAATCTTGTCTAATAACTCATCTGTCCAGCCTGCAACTTCAGTTTGAGCCCTAGCATATTGCTGTTAAAGGCAGTCAAACTTGGGGAACTAGAGAATCCACATCTCTAGACAAATTGTTTCAATAGTTAATTACTCTCAATGTCTTTAAAAACAAAAAAGAAATGACAGAGAGAGAGCAAGAACGCCTTATTTCTAGTTTGAATGTGCCTAACTTTACCTTGGAAATTACAGGATTTCAGTACATCATTTCTACTCTAGTAAAGAGCTACCAATCATCAGGAGTCTTGCCCATGTATGTAGTTGCAGACTGTGATCAAGTTGCCTCTTAATTTTTTGTTGATGAGCTAAATAGATTGAGTTTCTTAATTCTTTTGCTATAGAGTGCACTTTCCAGACCCCAATTTCTAGGTCTTTTCTGAATTCTTTCTAACTTTTCAACGTCCCTTTTGAAATGTAGATACCAGAACTCAACATGGCAATATACAACTTCACGTTTGGCTGTGTTAAAGAGCATGTTCCTGTAAACCTACCTTACAAAGTGATCCATTTGTTATACTTTGTTATACACTTTTTTCCCATTAATGTCTTTACCTTTCCTTTTGACTAAGGTCGTTTTTAATTAATAAGTTGCCCTTGGCTACTTACAGGTATTCAAATGAACCTTGAGAAGTCTTTTAGCTTTGTTTTCCCTATAGAAAAATCTACTGGGAGAGCACTGTAGAAATGTTAGACAAGCTGGATAGCTGCTGCACAGAGAACCTGTGCTGCCACTACCCGAACAGGGGGGCCCTGTGTATACATCCCAGAAGGCTCTGCAGGCTCCCCTGGCTGTTGGAAAGTACTGAGTGCCCAGAGTAGCTCTTATTGGCTGGCTGCTCCCAGGGATCATGTGCCCCTGGGGAACTCCTGCTCACAATCCCCACTTCCTTCCCTGCTGTGAGGCTTTGAGAGAGACCTAGAGCGTATCCCTTCTTCGGTAAGTTGCAGGTGTGTCAAATGTCAAAACTGGGGCAAAGTCAGGTATGATAAGGGGAGGTCTGGGTTTCTGGATCACATGCAGGGGACACAGCTGCCTTGGTATCCTGTGTTTTCCTGAAGTCCTGGAGCACAGTGCAGGGGTGATAAAAGGGGCTGGCTTTCCTTGTCCCAAAGTAATCAGAGGGAGGGGTTTGGTTCATGCTCAGTTGGACCATTGGAGTGCAACCCAAGTCGTAACTTCTCCCTGGAGTGGGGAGGAAGGCAGAGGGGCCTGGAGCAATGCATGCTGAGATGCTAGAGGATGGCACTGCAGCTGCAACTGGAAGGTTTAGTGTACATGCGTTAGTTTCTTCCAGACCAGAGACGTTCCAGGGGCAAATTAACTCAATTCCAATGAGGTAGAAGCAGCTCCCAGAAGATTTTTTTTCATGGGAGAACAATGTGGACATTTGTACACTCAAGGTGTCTACAAGGAAAACTGTGATTCTTCCAGTAGCTACGTAATGCTGTATGCAGCCCTTGTCAGAAATGGAGGCATGTCATGTATTCATCAGTATCCCATCTTGGGATTTATCCATTAGTTCACTGATCCATGAAAGTTTCCAGTCCTGCTGCCTCCTCTCTCTCTCTCCCTCCCCCCCCCCCCCCC